TTCTGGTAAATTATAAAAGGTATATATGGTTTAATAACATCACATTTCTGTATCTTGTAAAATATCCATTAATACCCTTGGCTAGGGGGTTCTTCATGACTTTTAAAGGATAATAGAGGCTTAAGTCAATACTGGCGTTAGAGTTGTTTTTTCCTTTGTTGAATGAATGACTAGCGCATCGAATCATTACTGTGACACGTTGTCAGTTCTGGACTTGGTAGCAGTATGCTTATTATCCTATGTTTTGAAGTCAGTTTATTGTAATGATTAGATGTATAATGCCACAAATATTTGGGGGGAAAGGGATGATATATTAGGACTTAAAGAGAATGCCTTTATTATGATAATTTGCATCATGAGATGGTTGACCTACCTTGTATTTCTCCTTTTGCTTGGTGGCTTTTAGAGTTTTCAGTGTTTAAGAAAAATTATAATATGTGCTAAGATATCCTTTTATAGGTCATGTTTATAGATCTTAAAAGACATCTCATATCTTTATACAAAATTATCACACAAAAATAACTGTGTAAATGTGTCTGTAAAACTGAGTGTCTTCATCTCTTAATCTTCTCTTCCACATGTAGTAGTATTCAGGGGTTTTTATTTATTTTTATTTTTTTTAACATCTCCCACACTTAGGAATTCATTGACTTTTAATCTGAGGGTACCCTAATTCATTCTAGCTTAGCCACTCTTCATCTCGAGAAACTAAAAACTCCATGTCATATTTTAGTTGTTGCTGTAGCTGATAAACCCTACCTGTAGAATCTTGTCCATATTCTATTACCATTATTTTTTTTGTTTTGCACCCCAAATTAACTGATTCTTTTTGGCGATTTATCACATAGTAACTAAAAATTAATGTTTATCACTAGTAAATAAAATCATTTTGATTTTAACTTTTTTTTTTTTTTTTTTTTTTGAATTTTCAGGGTACACGTGTTTCACGTTGACAGGTTTGCTTGGGACGCTAGTAACCATGGGCTGGCTGACTTAGCCAAAGAAGAGTTAAGAAGAAAATACACACAACTATACAGACTGTTTCTAGTCTCTTAGACTTATCTGCATATTGGATACAATAAATGCAATTGTGCTTTTCATTTAGGATGCTTTCATTGTCTTTAGGGTGTGTTAGGAATGTCAACAAAGGAGAAAAAAGGCAGTCCCAGAATCACATTCTCAGCACACCTCTACCTCTTGAAAATAGAACAACTTGCAGAATTGAGAGTGATTCCTTTCCTAAAAGTGTAAGAAAGCATAGAGATTTATTCATATTTAGAATGGGAACACAAGGAAAAGAGAAGAAAAGTAATTTTTTTTCCCACAAGATCTTCCTACTTATGAAGGAAATAAAAAATGAAAAACATTTGGATATCAAAAGCAAATGAAAACCCAATTCAGTCTCTTTTAAGCAAAATTGCTAAAGAGAGATGAACCACATTATAAAGTAATGTTTGACTGTAAGACATTTTCATTTTTCCTTCAGATTGGCAAAATATTTTAAAGGTAAAACATGCTAGTGAGCCAGGGGTGTTGATGGTGACAAGGGAGGAATATAGAATGAAAGACTGAGTCTTCCTTTGTTGCACAAATACAGTTTGCAAAAAGCCTGTGAAAGATGTCTTCTTTGACTTAATGTCTTTAAAAGTATCCAGAGATACTACAGTATTCACATAAGAAAAGATTATATGTTATTTCTGAAGTGAGATGTCCATAGTCAAATTTGTAAATCTTATTCTTTTGTAATATTTATTTATATTTATTTATGACAGTGAACATACTGATTTTACATGTAAAACAAGAAAAGCTGAAGATATGTGAAGAAAAATTTATTTTCCCTAAATAGAAATAAATGAGTGATCCCATTTTTTGGTCTCATGTAGTATTTGAAATTTATTCTTAAACATGACTACTTTATTTCTGAATAAGAAATTCCCTACCTGCCTCCTACGAGCAGTTCAGAATCCTGTCTCTTGGTTGTCCTAGTGCGAATAATTTTCAGTTACTTTAAAATTATATTGTACTTTCTCAAGCATGTCATATCCTTTCCTGTTAGAGTACCTATATTACTTGTTCCTGATTTACCTGAAGACAATCTGATTAATTTCTAGGTTTTTACCATATTCTTGTCATCTTGCCAATTACATTATAGGTATTAGACTAGACTAAGATGTACTAGTTATATAGAATATAACTAGATTTATTATGGCAATGTTTGTCATTTTGCTTCATCTGTTTTGTTGTTGAAGTACTTTAAATTTCCTACGTTCATGGAATTTCACTGTGAAGACTTTAATGTGTATTTCTCAAAATAAAACTTTTTTTTCCTCCTTAACCACAGTTACCACAACTAGCAGTACTATCAATAATTTCCTAATAGTTTCTAATATTGGGAAATTCTTTGAACTTTCCTAGAAGTTCTAAGAGTAGGCACATATCCACCTATCCATTCATTCATTTGTTAAATATGAGGGCCTGCTCTGCCTATTCTGTAATAACCCAGTGCTTCCAGGGGTAGCAGTAACACTGGCTCAGAAAAAAAGCTGAGTGCTTTTTTTATTCAGAAAAAAAGCTGAGTGCCTACTATGTGCAAGTTGCCATATGCTAAATGTGAGCTTACCAAGATAAATACAAGTGTCTGCCCTCAAGTTGCTTATAGTTTGCTACAGGAAGACCAAAATATATATTTACTGAGAGAAAGAAGATAAAGTTATAAGTGTTAGAGCCCCTAATATGATGGGTGCTTAAGCTGTTTGTTAAGTAACTGAGTGGCAGGGAGGGAGACATTCAAGGCAGGAAGCTGATTGAGAAAGCAGTAATAGATGAGATTATAATGGCAGGATGGTTGAAGTAGGAAAGGCTTAGAGCAAGGGCTAGACTATGTCATGTGTTCTGTGTAGACGTGAAAATTATAAGCTCTAGACTTTTTATTCTGCTCAATCAAATTAGAATCAATGAGCATAAAATAGGTTTATAATAGCAAGAACTTACTATCTTTGGATAAGGGTAAAAGCGGAAATGCTATTTAACAGTCATTTACCTTGAAGAAAATATAAACAATAGGCTGGCTAAGGGTAAAGCTATTTTCTTGTAGGATTTCTGTTTACTGTGTATCCTGTAGTTATGAGGTTGAGCGGTTTTATTTTTGCTCGGGATAACGTCTCCTATGAGATTTTACTTTGCAAAGGTTGTATTGCTTTTCCTCTTGAGACTGATGTATTTGTTACAGCAAGTTATACCTGCTCACCGTAGAAATTTGAGTTTTATAATATTTAGCCCAATGTCACTGTCACTTTTCTGGGAACGCTTGAACATGAATAGTTTTTGTCTTGTCACACCCTAACCCTGTTTGCTTTGGTTAATGTCCAATGTGCAAATGCCTCATTTTTCTCCCACCCGTCCTGAGTGTTTTCTTCCTCCTTCCTGAAACTAAAAACAGCCCATGCCCTGAAGGTACTGCTTCCTTTGCAGCCTATTCCAGTGGCGGCTGGTTTATTTTCATGCATATGACTCATTGTTAAGAGGTGGTGGAGGTGTTTTCCTTGTTCCTCACTGTCATGTCTTCCATCTGTACTCCCACACACAACTCTTTTTAAAAAGAGTAGCTGTCCATTCACTCTGTAGGGTGATTTACTAAAATGTCAAATGTTTTCCCTATAATTCTCCTTGGTGAAAAGCATGGATTCTGGAGACAAATCGGAGCCCTGGCATTTATCAGCCACGGGACTCAAGGGATGTTCCTTGTCAGTGTACCTTAGTTATCTATGTATAAAGTGGGCCTAAAATCAGTATCAGCCTCATAGGATTTGCAATGAGAATTAAGTTAATACATATAGAGCTTAAAATGGTGCCAGTCGTATAGGAAGTGCTCAGTAAGTTTTAGCTCTTTTTGGTGCACAGGTGGAGAGATTGCCTTCGGTGGAAGCATGCAGGGCTTCTGTAGATACCAGGAAGGAACTGTTTGCAGGTGGGTTGGAGATGCCCATGGTGGCAGCTTTTGGAAATTGATTTCACATTTCTTCTGTTTTCTCAGGGACATATACATCAAGGTCATCATGAAGATGATGACACATGAGGAGGTGTTATGTTTGAAGACAGGCAGAGAAGGAAAGGACTAGAGACATTTAGTCAATTAACAGGCAATGCTAAAGACCCAGCTGAGGTGAGTGCTCATGAATTTAGAGAGCAATCATCAAGCTTCGTTCTGAGTTTTTCTGCAGTCATATTTAGCTTTCTAGAGATGGTCTCAGAAAAAACCAGTTGCTTGGATTTAATCATGATTGGGTGTTCCCAGGTGAATTTCATGACATGAGTTGAGCATGTGCACAAGGGAGTGATTAAAATGATGGACCATTGAATTTAAGCTATGTGAGAAGGGAAGTGAAGACATATGAGTGGTAAGAAACAAAGAGTAACAGGATCAATATTTTGTAGGCCTTAATGGGGTCGTGTCATTGTTAGACTTGGGGTACTATTTAGGGTGAACTAGAATGGTAATATGTAGTAGTGAGAAATAAGAATGCCTCAATTGAGGGTAAAACAGAATTAGCAACCAGAGGACAAAGCTGTCTACAAATACACTTCCCCTTCATTTTGGGCACAAAGTTAGACACATTTCCTGGCACCCTTGCAGTTAAGTGTAGAAGGACTGAGTTCTGGCTAAAGCAACATGATCACAGATGTGTAGCATTTCTAGGTCTGGCCCTAAAACATTCCATATGCGATCTTCCTTGCCTCTTTCCCTACACTGAGTTGATGAAAGTGACTCTAGTAACCTAGTAAGTCACATGCTAAAGATGACAGAACCACAGAAAGGAAGGAGCTTGAGTCATTGCTTTGAGTAGAGCTGTCTGCTGATCAGCAACACCCACTTTAGATTTCACGTGAAGAAGAAATAAACTTCTGTCATGTTTGAGTTCTAACATTTTGGGGATTGGTGTGTTACGTTATTGTGGTCGACATTATCTAAACTAACACTGAAGCCTTCTAGATTTTGGTGATGCAAGAGTTTAAACAGAACTGTGGTGGTGAGAAGTTGAAATAAAATGGTGGACAAAAGTATTGGTGCAGAGGAGGCCATGGAACATCTTAATTGATACTGAAATCACCAAAAAGCATAAGGATTCATGTTAGAAAGTCATACTGAGTCAGGGGCTAAAATCTTCAAGAAATGAGGAGTGGCTTGTACATCTGAAGATGATTGCAAACAAGAAGACAGCAGGTGCTATATTCTGATGATATGCAACTCAAAGGAAAGGGTTTTGTGGAAAGGAAGGAGGATTGGTCTGCAAATAGCAATGATGAATAAAATAGTGCACCAACTTCACCTCTATGCCTGGTACTATGTGGAACAAAAGTGCAATGAGATATTTTTGCCTACTGGAGATTTGTCTGCACATTCAAACCCACTGTTTGATTCTCTTCCACTCCTTGTTATTGCAATCCCTTTACTTTCTGGTCACCCACCCCTGTCTGTTGAGGGATTTGGAACCTGGCTCACTATCTCCCAACCATCCTACAATCTGGTATTATCCATAATTATTTCACATTGACAAAGATGACTCCTTATAACATCCGTGCCTCTGGTTTTATTGACCTTTTGATTTCTAATGACCTCTTTCACTGTACCTGAGTCACTCATCTCCATGGAACCTTCTTAAATCACTAATTCAGGCATATTTTCTTGCTTCTTATAATCTATTCAGCGTTCTAGTTTAGTTACCCCAGTATGTTAATCAACTCTCCACTTTCTTCCTATTTATAAGTCTCCTACTGTGATGGATATTTTCTGTTTGTTCATCCAGAACCACTCTGTAGCACACTCCAACTTGCTGTGACCTCAGAGGCTGACCTATAATGGAAGCTGTGGAGGGGAGAGAGAGCTGCATTCTTTCTAATTTTTGTTTTGTATCAAAACACTCCACAACTTCTTATTTTATTTCATTTTTTTTCTACCATTCTATCACCAAAGGATGGCTCCCCTTCCTTTTTGCCCTTTTCCTCTTTTAGAAACTACATCTTTCAAAAGCTATCAGCTCAGATCGCATTATGTTTATGCCCCTTTCCTGAAGGTGTGCTTGTAGTTAGTGCTCTGGTCTACAAGGACACCTTTTCAGCATTTTCATTTTTACGGCAGACTCTTACTTTCTGGCAGTGGTCTTGGAGCAATTTGAGGACTCTGCTAGCTCAGCTTTTTTCTCTTTCATGAAGTCTTTCCACAGACTACCCTTGCTCACCACAGAGGCTTCTAGGAGCAGTGTGAAGAACTCCTAGGTCATTTTTGTTTGTTTGTTTTCTTATGGGCAATTTGAAGGTGGTGCTTTGTCTTCTAGTTATGTTGAGAGTGTGGTTTTTGTATGACCACACTTCCTATTGGTGTAGCTGTGGAAAATCAGATGCTTTTATATATTATTGGTGGGAATGCAAACTGATACGGCCATTTTATATGGGGATTTTTCAATATCTAAAACAAATGCATACACATTTACCCTTTGATCCACCAATCTCATGTCTAAAAATGAACTCTGAAGCTATACCTCCAAAAATATGAAAATACACAGGTACAAGATTATTCACCAGAACATTGTTTGTCATTGCAAAAGATTGGAAACCATCTAAATGACTTGCTGAATAAACTATGTTATATCCAAACAATGGAATACTATGCAGCTGTGAAAAGGAACAAGGAATATCTCTGAACTATTATGAAGTATTTCTAGAATATTATTAAGTGAAAAAAGTAAATACAAAAGACTTTGGTATGCTACTTCTCATGTGAAAAAGAAGAAATAAAAAAATGCATGTCCTTGTTTGTACAAAAAGAAACATAGGATGGATAAACTAGAACCAATGAGATAGTTACATACAAGGCATG